TCTCATTCCTGCAAATACCATCCTAATTGGTGCCTGGTCGCTCACTTCTGAAGCTTGAATTGTTGAAGTGGTCTTACAGCGTTGCAGCTCGAATCCCTGGATGAGAGCCCCCGAAGAGGCGCCCCGAAGTTCGAGAATTAAGATAAACCTTAAGCCCTCAACCCTGAAACCCTAAACCCTTACCCCAAAGCCCTAAACCTCAAGCCCTAAACCCTAAAGCTTCAAACCTTAAGCCCTAAACCCCTAAAGCCTCAAGTCAAGGCTTGAGGCCATGGCCTTTCCATACTTGCCTCCCTTGGCATCGCCACCTCCAAACCTGAGTGAGGGTCGGGAGGAGCCCATCAGCCCTACAGCTTTCGTAGGCAAATCTTCCTGCGTAGAAGCTACTGTAGCCGATAGCTGTTCCTAGTGGGCTTCTTGGGATCATACGGTGATTCCTGACAGTTTTGCTACACTGTTCTCTCTAAACCCTAAACAGCTGAGGCGCATTTGCATGTAGTGCTGGTGCTGCAGCTGCTGCTGGTACGCAGCGTAAGCCTGGGCTTTGGGTTCAGGGTCTAGGGTATCAGGGCTGTGGGATTGGGGATTTGCCCCGAACCCCTGTGAATGCCTAGGGCCTAGAGAATCAGTAGGAGGCATCATGCCCGATAATCTAAGGGCGTCCTTTTTCTTTTCCACCCCTGGATTCCCTACCCCCAACCCCACAGTAGCTTTCATCTGCTTTTCCATCACCTACCAACCCCCATAATGAACTCCAAACCCTACATTTGCTCCCATGTGCTTATCATTTCAACAAGCAAGTTCACATGCATGATGCAAAAGATCGATGAGGCCACGGCAGCCTGCTGCGCCAGGAACCTCCAGAGGGTGGTTCGTATTTAAGGCTAATTGAGCTTTTAGGATTTTCTAGTTGTGGTTTAGTCTACTTCCAGGTTGCTCTTGTAGGGTTCGCAAAAGTTCGCGATGGGTATGATCATGAGTAATTATGCCACGCAGTCCACCACGCGGGCAAGGATCTTCATGTCTCCCCACCGCACTCCCCTTATGTCCTCAACCAGGCGAATGAAAACAGAAAAGCCCTACCTCCCACAAGGATTTTCTAGCTACCTGCGGAAAATCTAGGAATCCTAAACCCTAAACCCCTAAACCCTAGGGATTATGTACGGAATGTTTTTCTTCGAGAATATCTGGGATTGTTGGTGCATGTCACACTGCCACAGAACACCAGGCCAGGGCTCGCGCTGCTGATGGATGTAAGGGTTCATGGCCTCAGTCTCTAGTTCCCTTTTAAGTAGATAGCATATGGCTTTGGGTAATCTATAATAAGATCCCCATGTACCCCATATTCTATCTACTTAAGGGGGTGTCTACTGCGTAAAGGTATCTAGCTTTCAGACTCCCCCAACACTTCAAGCAGGAGAAGACATGAACCGACGCCAGGTCTCACTGCATCATTGAGTTGAATGGTATCTGCGTTATTTCCAATCCGTTGCTCCTTGAAAACCTAAACACTGACCCCGAGCGCCGGACCCCGATGCCCCCAAACCTGAAAACCCTGAACCTGCAACACAAGCCCTTCAGCCTGCACCCAGTGATTGCTGAGGCAGGTGCCGGGTTGCTCATCATGTTGCACATGGCCTGAGAGCATTTCTAGAACCACGGGTTTCTCCGTCGGGCTCATCATAGCCATCGTACGGGCTTCTCTTGAATATGAGGACTGCATGATGCAGGTGCAGACTTTGGTAAAGGCCTGAAAAGGATTGCGTTTGATTTCCAGGACCTGTCATGCAAGGAATGACACATGCCGAGTGTGTGGCATTGTAGTACGGATTGCCCGGGGCGTGCGCGTGCGGAGGCGCCTGTCAAGTCAGCTTGTCGCAAGCCCAGCCTTCGGCTCCTTGGGTTTGACAGCCCTGAACCCTCAAACCCTGAACCCTAAAAACCCTAAAAGCCTCAAACCCTGAACCCTAAAAAACCCTCAAGCCTCAAGGCCCTACACTCCAGATTCCCCCCAAAAAAAAACAGAACTCTCTACTCCCCAGTCCCTATCTTCACTACTTTGCCGGCCTGGGCACCAGCCTGCGCATGTGGAGACGCCTGCAAAAGAGCTGACAGATGCTGGCGAGGCCCAACCAGGGTTTTGGGGTTTGTTAGGGTTCGGGGTTTTGGGTCTAGGGTTTTACTAGGGTTCAGGGTTTAGGGCTTTATCTGGGTTTAGGGTTTTATTAGGGTTTAGGGTTCTATTAGGGTTTAGGGTTCTATTAGGGTTTAGGGTTTTATTAGGATTTAGAGCTTAGGGGTCAAAACACATGTGTCTAGGCAGTCTAGCATTCCGTCCATAATCTCTGGCCAAGAGCAAGCTTCATGCATCATGGGTCCTTCAATGAGCCCACATAGAACCCAAAGTCCCGCTTAAGTAGATAGGATATGGCTTTGGGTATATGATACTAAGATCCCCATATACGCCATATTCTATCTACTTAAGGGGGACTATATACCCCAAGGCGCCCTCAAGCCCCACACCGGAAGTTCGGGTTTAGGGCCAGCCCAACAGCAGCTTTCACGCCTGGGGCAGTGCTCCGGGCAGAGGTGGGGGCGGAGGCGCCCTCATGCCAGGGCCTTCGCATTACAGCTTTTTCTTGGTGGGAGCTCTTCTGGGTTGCTGGTAAGGACCTTACTTCAAGCTACCATAATATGGGTAGATAATGGTTTCCAATCATAGTCACTTCAGTTAACTTCCTTAGTAGCAACCCGGTCTTTTTCCCATGGAGCTTCAAGGAGCTTAGGCAAAGATACCACAATGGCCATGGCAGCATGTCATATCTGAGGCTGCCACCCAGGAGATGGTGCGCCTGCACATGACATCCTAATCACTGGTCCTAATCCCAAAGTCTAAATCCGGGACCCAACGCTGTAGGCCTAGACGAGTACAATTCAGTTGACGGATATCTCCCCGACTAGGTCAACCTACCAAACGTTAAGTCCCTCATTAAACTTCGCGCCCGAAGCCCTGACCCCTAAACGATAAACCCCAATCCGCCAGTTGTGGCTCCGAAGCCCCAATCCTTAAGCCAGGAAACCCAGGGCTGTACAAACCCCAGACATGTGCAGCTGCGCGTTTTTTGGGCAGTTGAACCAGGCTCGCTTAATGCTGGTCATGGAACACTACAACCCAAAGCTTAATACGCTCTTCCTGCCAATTGCGGGGATTATGTAAAGTATGCTTCTCCGAAAGGATAGTAATCTTCATAGGGCCCATTTTGAGCTTCCATTTTTGCTGAAGGGAGTAGTCCCGCACATACATTCCCTCATGAGTTCCTATAAGTCCCGATATACCCCGCATGATGATCCCTATACATCAAGTCATACGAGGAGGCAAAGATAGAATCACCAACGCCTAGAACAGTAAATATTCAGGCTTCTACATACCGAAAACCCCCTTGCATAATTTTAGTTTCCCGTATACATTCTTTTCCATTAGATTCTCCATTGCATTCTACCCCAAGGAGAAGGGGTTTTACTAATACGTTAAGGAAGAATATAGGGACAAAAAGACGTAGTACTGGGTTATAAGGAGTACAGTAATGGGCTATGGGGACTCTTTCAAGGGCTGATGCAAGCACCGCTGTAGGTGGTACAAAAAGTATACTCACCATTTCCAGGCCTGGTGTGCCCCAAGCTGAGCGGTCAGCGGGGCGGTGGGGGCAGGTGCCTTCAAAGCTTCACGACAGATGCGCAAGGACCTGGATTACATGGGGGACTGCAGAAGGATTGCTGAGGATTTGGTAGCCTTGAGGAACATGGATGTGGGAGCGGGACTGTTAAAATTGCGTTCCTTCTGGGGAGCCCCAAAACCCCTAAGCCCCAAACTCCTAGGACCCAACAGTCCAGACCCCTAGGCTCTGAACCTATAATTCTGCTCCCAACCTCTACACCCGAAACCCTATCCTCCACCCTAAACTCTAAACCCTACTGACCAGAATCAAGAAAGCAGACCCCTGGCCTGTGCCGGCGAAGCTTGGGCCTCCTCCACACGAGCGCTGATAGGGTTTAGGGCTTTGGGCTGAAAGATTGTGCATTGGGGTTCAAGAAGGTGTGCGGTTTCTTTACATGGGTGTTCAACTTTATCGCAGCATGTAGTCATCCTTGTCATGGGATATCCACCCCATAACATATTATCTCTTCTGGGATCCCCAAAAGGAAGGGCTAAGCTAAAAACATATCTACATCCTCTCATCTAAAAAGCGTCCCTTACCTTGAAGACAGCCCTGAGCTCCACAACTCATTCTTACTCCATGCTACCTGATCCACAAAAGGATGCAGAAGAATAGCCTTTTGGTCTATATATTTCAGGGTTTTGGGGGCCATTATCTTACCTTCTCTTTGGGGTCCAGATGAGGACTCTAGTGACTTTAGTGACCCACTTAACCCTAAAACCCTGAACCCCAGACACTCCACCCCTTTCTTTCGGCCAAGGCACTGCGGGCGACTTGAGAGCCTTCCGCAGGCATCAGAGGAGTTGAGGGTTTAGGGGTTCTATATGAGCTACTGTCTAAACTGCTAGTATCCCCCCTTAATATCCCTTATAGTAGTCCCTTATATAGTCCCCTATATAATCCCCCTTTAAGGAGTTTAGATTATGGCTCATATGTTTAATCCAATCGGTCTTATATCAACATATGGCTTTTCATAGATCCTTATAGGGCTATCTCTTAATAGACAAGATAAACATTTCCTAAGGAGACTGCAGTATAGGAGTGGGGGGTTGGGATGCTATGGCTGTCGGGCTTGAGGCTCCAGTTTGGAGTTTGGGAACCTTGTGTTCTTATAGGAGCCCAAAGAAAAGGACTGGCAAACACGTGCGTGATGTCGGGTCGCGTTGAGGTCAAGGGCTTTTGAAAACCCGGGCTGTAGGAATAGTATGACAATCAATCATGGATGACAGTTCCAAGCAAGTAGAAGCCGTAGTGGTACGTCGTTATGAGCATGCAGCGTCGGACCTCTTGGTAAAGCTGATCGAATTTCTCCGCGATGTCCTCAACGGTCAGAGGGGAGTCCTGTCGGGAGCATTCAGCAGTAGTCTTACTGGGAGGCTGCGCCCCGGAACCTTCTCTTGCTGGTGGCCCCAGGCAACGAAGATGTCGGTCACAACCTGTGTTTGCATGGAGCGTGGTCCTACACCTGAAGGTCTGTGACTATTAGCCAGCCTCACGCTTGGTCTGCTTGTCTGTGTGACGCTTCAGCTGCACTTTGACCTGGAAAATGCGCAGCCGCAAGAAAGCTCCACCAAGTACATCTACTGAGAACCCAGCATCGCCGATGTCCATCTGCACGCGTCCGTTGCTGTTGCGGCCGAACCTGAATATGGGAAGAAACAGGATGGTAGCAAGAGTCATCGCATTGAAGCTCCCATGCGACGGTGGCCTCTGCTCAGCGAAGTTCATGATTGCCTTTTTATGACGAGAGGCGAGAGCCATGAGTGGAACCGTGAGATACTTTTTTGTTGATTCCACAGTCGCTCGGGCCTCCCTCATGTTCGCCGATTGCATGGACACGACGGCGCAGCCCATGCTGCTGTGCTTGTGCACCTCGGCGACGAGCACGGAGCGGTGCAATGTGCAAGTGCGAACCCCTCCCATCGGCCTGGCAAATATCACCTTTCGCCTCAATTGGCTGCTTGGCGCCGGAGTCGGGGTTGCGCTTCACACGCTCAATCTTGCCTTTGCCCTGTCCAAGTCCATAGTTGCAAATCTCGCTCCATTAGGTTGTGTGTGCTGCTGGGACTAAATATATACTATATAGTAGTTTCCATTTTCTTTTCCATTATCCCCATATAAGAACAATATAACCCCAATATGTCCTCTATATATAATCCCTATTTTGACAGCTACCCCAATAGTAGTTTCCATTTTATTTACCATCATCCCAATATCACCCCAATATAACCCCTATATAGTTGAAGGATTAACCACTGAACCTTGGCCATCTCAGCCTCCACTTCAGCCACCTGAGCCATGCCACACAGCCACATCGCTTCGCAGCTGCACCACACGTAGTTGTGACTGAGCTCCCTGCTGTCTTGGGACTGAGCCTGGGCGAAGAGGGGAGGAAGAGATTAGTGCAATACCCTTCTTCTGTGAGCTTTCCTTCAATCTTGGGGAAGGGCGGCGGGCCCTCACCCTTGCGGGGCTCGGCTCCTTTGCTGTCACCGCCCTTCGTAAAACCTTCGCAGAGCTCAAGGCATAATGGCTTGAAAGCACGCAACAGGTGACAAAAGCCCTCGGGTGTCATCTTGACATATCCCCTAATTATACCCGACTCTACTGGAATAGGTTCCCTCTCCTTTTCCATTTTCCCTAGTATACTGTAACCCCAATATATACCAAAACCCAACACCCTCAACCCTAACTCCCTAAATCCTAGACGCTAAATCCTAAACCCTAAATCCTAAACCCTCTCAATCCTAAGCCCTTAACTCTATGTCACCTTCACACCCGAAGCAGGCGACACGGGACTGGCCTTTGCCTCCCTTCTTCCCCTTGGGCTCCTGGAGTGAACTTGCAAGGCTTTCAAGCCACACAAACCCATATTCTCTAAATATATATATATATATTTACACATTTAAACATGGATACGTGTGTACATATACATATACACACACACACATATATATATATGCATATATATATATGATATTATTGTTAGCATATGTCCCCATAGACTCTAGTTTCCATGTAATTTTCCATGTTCTTTTTCATTTGATTCTCCAGTCTAGGGGCTTTCAGCGAAGAAGGTTGATCCATGGGAGACGTCCTCGGACTTGCCTTTCCCCTTTCCTTTGCCCTTCTCTTCACCTTGCAACACTTGAACCTACTCCGCAGCTGTATCTGAAGGTACCCATTGGGGAAATATTAGGGTTATACTGGGGCTATACTGGGATCAAGGAAAATAAAATGGAAACTACCATTTAGGATTTAGGATTAGGGCTTAGGAAGTTTCGCAGAGTGCCGGGCCGTCGTCCTTGTCCTTGTAATCGCCTTTGCCCTCGGGACGCGCACTGATACAGGAGCTGGTTCCACTTCGTTCCACAACCAGCGCCTTCTTTCCGGAGTCCTTCGACTTACCCTTGTCCTTCCAAGACACACTACTGAATCTATGGCAATGCTATCATAAAGACATGTTCCCTAAAGACATACCGTTCCGTTCACAGACATTCATATGATAGCCGACACCGACGACACCACCACTTCAGGGAGGGCATCATGCCATCATTCTGAAAAAAGCTCCCCGGCCTTTCCCTTGGACTCCTTTCCCTCGCCCTGGCAGAGACATGGATCGGAGGCGGGCACAGCATGTGATGGACAGGCACAGTTGCACGTTGCCTTGCTGGGCTTTGTCTCCCTGCCCTGGGCCCACACAGATTTCTCTGAGTCTTCGGTTGCAACACTTCAATCGAGGCCCGCACCCAATCGTTCCAGCTCCACCAATCCGAATCTCAGCAAAGTTAGGCATTCTCTTGCTGACATGATGGACCGACACTTCCTTCAATGCAAACCTAGCACTGCTTCCAAGGGCGCAGCAGCTGTCAGCGGTCCAAGTCCAGCCTCAACATATCGAGGATGAAGGAGCCAAGACCAGGGTATTGAATTGCTGAACTGTTGCCTTTTTGCTTATATGAAGGGATTACATGAGATTCTATGGGCACTACCTAGATCCACTCCTTCACTCAGTCCCAAGCACCAGGTAGACAGCTCATGAGCGTCACGGACGCTGAGCCCAACACTCCAATCCTCCTCCTCTCGTGGAGCTTTGCCTGTCGGCCAGAACAGGGCCCGCTTCGTGGGATAATGTGGATGCCTAAATCAATTAGTGGTTTTGTGTGTGTGGTTTGTCTTTTTGGGAGGGGGGGATGGTACATCATCCTACAACCATATGCAGCGTTCTCCAAATGATGGCTAATTGCCTAGTAGACTGCGTGCACTTGATATTTAATTAGGCTACCCAGAAAAGGGATGATAATTTTGACGTCCCTTCATACAATTGTTGGGAGAGTAATGCTACTAATCATTCCGAAGCCCTAGACACTAAACGGCTTCAATTGTCCTTTCCATAATCCCGAAATATCCCCATTACCCAGAATTTTTTGTGACCTCCAAAAAGGACCCCCCCCCCCAATATGAGCCATAGTCTCAATTGGTAGTATCCCCCTTAATAGCCCCTATCGTAGTCCCCTCTATATACCCCTTGTAGTTTAGACTATAGCTCATATAACATAAGTGTAGCCTATCATAATGAAGCAGCTTCCATTTTCCTTTTCCATTATCCCTATATAACCCCATATATTCCCTCATTCCCTACCCTGAAACCCCCCAAAGATAGCTTCTAAAGGATGCGAGGAGGCCCGCCTCCCTTCCGCTTGCCTTCGCCCTTTCGATCACCCTTTCGGTCTCCCTTGTCGCCCTTGTCGGCTTTGCCCTGTGCAGGAAACCCCAGCAGCTCCTTTGTTTCAAGGGTTCTGCGTTTGGGGTTTGGTTTTTGGGCGTTGGGTTTAGAATCATTCTGCTTTGAATTTACCTCCGCTCCAGGGAAGAAGCTTTTCCTTACTTCAGAATCCCACCTTGGCCGGCTCCTCGTCGCTCTTTTTGGCCATCCACTTTGAGCCTGGCGACTGACTTCCACATAACTTCGAGTAAGACATGTAGCGAATGCTCTCCAAAATGTCTACTATACCTCTTGCACCACCTCAGCCCCAAACATGCCCGACTTAACCAAGGGTTGATTGATACACGCCTGCCGGCGCGGGTCCCTCTGAATTTCTATCCCGCAAGGTTGACGTGCAGGCTTCTTGCCACCCCGAAAGGGTAGATTGACAAGCCTGCTTTACGTGTTTGAACTCTCATCCAAAGATTTCTTTGACCAAGATAGCCACTCTACAGCCAAAATGCCAGACCCCCTATCAGAAGGACAGTTATAAGAAACTCGCATCCAAAGGACGCAGACGCAAACACAAGTCCCAAAGTGAAACGGTACACCCTAATCCCAAGAACAGTCCATGCCTCCTTTTCCCCGGTCATCCTTTCTGTCCTTTCCCTGCCATGGGGAAAAAGGTCGATGTACTTAGATAAGAAGGTCCCATCAATAGCATACCTGCTAAGATCAAAGACAGTCCCGATAAAAATGGGCGAACGGCCGAAATGCTCTGCAATTTAAACTCGTAAGAATTATAAGCCCAGTCTCTCCACCTAGAGTAGTGGGGTGGTAACCATAGCAACCGAATTCGTGCTGCACATGCCTTTGCCGGCTCATCCTCACCCTCGGTCTTCTTGGCCACCCACTTCATGGCTGCGACAGGTGCGTTGATAAAAACTTAGAGATAGAGCCTAAGGGCTTATAGAGCTTTGGATGCAGGGCTTGTAGGGATGAACGGTTTGAAGTTTAGAGTTCATGGTTTAGGGCTTGATTGTGTAGAGCTTAGGTACAGGAGTTAGGGTTTAGGGCTCAGTGGTGTGCAGCTCAGGGCTTCGGATTAAGGGCTATGTGATTTAGAGTTTAGGCTTTGAGGCCTCTGGCTTTCCCTACACAAGCTATGCAGGGCTCTGTAGTACGACGGCGATGGCATGAAGTACAGCTAGTCCTCCTGTAGTAGGTGGGGCTTTCCCAAAATTGCCGTTAGGGTCCCTATCAAAAGGATTATAGTATAGTACATTGGGGTTTATCTTGGGATTCCCTGACTTTGGGAAATTACCAGCTAGACTGGGCGGAAAGCAAGGATCTGGAATTCTAGGGGCGCTTCCAAACAAAAGAACTCTGTCTTTACAGCCCCCCCCCAAAATTATAACAAGAAACTCCCTCATACCGGGACTCCCAAAACAGAAGCCCTGCATCATTTTTCGTCTCCCCCATTTATTTGCTCCTACTTCTAGCTCCCAACAGCCAATAGTAGGTGCGCCTGGGCCGGTCATTTTCCACACCTCCGGGGTGGGCTCACTTGTGGTGGGCGGGGACGCTTGGGTCTAGGTGGTTTCGGTATGTTTTGAAGCTTCTTGGGCCGTGCTAGGGATGTAGGGTTTGGGATTTGAATAGGTTTCGGGTGTTTGGGGAGTGGGCTTCAGGGCTTGAATTAAGCGTCGAGGCTGGTTTCTCAAACTGAGGGCACCCTGCGAGACGGGAACTTAGGGAGTGAATCAGTGAAAGCTGATAGCATTCCATGGGGCAACTTTGCAACAAAAATCTCTGAACTGCAGCTGAGTCTTTATCGGAAAAGGCGCCTGCAAGGGGGCACTCCTGGAGTGATGACTTCAAGAGATTCCAACCCTTGTTCGCAAACATGAGGCAAGTGCCTGGGACTTGTCCGCAGGGGTGACAGACTGCGCTGCTGCTCTGTCAGATTCTTGGTATGCAGACGTCTTCTTGTGGAACGCTCGTTTTGATCTGGGTATAGACTTGGGGACTGGACGCCCTGGGTTTGAACCCTATCCCTAAAACGCCAACCTAAAAAGGCATACTTGGGACTTCTGGCTGGCAGGTAGGGCTGCAATTGGCCACGCTTCCGCTGGGCCTATGCTTCGGCATTGAGGTTTGGGGATTTGGGGTTCAGGGTTCTCAAGCTTTTTGGGGGGAACGATGGTGGTAATGTCATCTGCCGATCCAGACTTGGCAAAGCCAATCTCAACATTGGCAGACTGAAGCAACAATCATAAGAATAATAAGAATAAGATTACTTGACATAAAAGTAGTAACAGTAATAATATACAAGTACTAATAATGGAAGGGGTAATCCCTGCGCCTCAACTGCAACGCAGCTGTTGGCAGTCGAATTGGAAGATCAGCAGCCCTACTCTGGTTTGCTGGCTTGCTGCACTGGTGTCACTGCTTGATTTCAGCCGTCTGCGCTGGAACAACCGTGTGACTTCTTGCAAGACAGACTTGTCAGACGTGCGTAATGTGTGAGAGTAGTGGTGGTCCATTGCCGAACCTTGTCCGCTCTGTAAGTCTGCTGTAGCCAAGAAAGGCACACATCAGCTTTCAAGCGCAAATTGCAGGAATACAGCAGGGCATGATGCGTGTACTCATATGGCTGTAATCTAGGCCCCAGACGTCTACTTTATGCCATCTTTGTTTTCTTGATGACTCATATTAATACTCCAATTTCTGCTATTAAGAATGTTCTTACTGTTGCGTGTATGAAGTACTACCATTATCACTATATGTACCGTTCCGACTTTCATGGCTATCACTATAATTACCACTACGACTGCTATGTTCATTACCATTTCTGAGCTGACCAGAGTGCCTTGAAGGAGCAGAAGTCCTTACTCAGACCTCAATTTGCCAGCGCAGAGCGAGGAAAGCTGAAGCAATGATGACTGCCTAGGGTTTAGGGTGCAAATAGGGTTGCCTCTGAGCGTAGGAAGGACGATGTAAACGTAGCCATGCCAGAAATCCTAACTCGCGCCACAGTCCAAAGTTCCTTAAATTCTTCATGCCAATGATGATAATTAATCGCAGTCATCTTCATACAATCGTTAGCATGCTTACTGCCCCAGCCAACAGGATCACGGGAATGGATCCCGACTCCTTGGCACCTCCCATCATCAACGCCTTCATTCTTTGCCAACGCGTGAGTAGCTACTGGGTGAAGCCATGCAGGTTCGCCAAGCACCGGACAAGCCCAAATGGTCTCATCCTCGGATGATACGTGTAGACAAGGGATAGGGTACTGTACAAGTTGAGATTCAAGGTTCAAAGTCTGCGTACTTCTTCGGTTTGAATGAAGACTTGGGTGTTACTGTGCGAAACTGCTTCGAAAGAGCTGGGAATCCCTCTGCGCAGTGATTGGCGCAATGTAGCTATGTTTCAGGTTGTTAATATTATTCTTGTTTTTTATTCACAGTATTAGTAATTTCACTAACATGGCTTTGTAGGACCCCTGATTCTCGCAGCTCGCCAATTGTTAGGTCTATGTCTGGGGCACCCACGTTGTGCATTGCTGGAGACTCTCGACGGAAGGTCTCACTAAGACAAGTCTATGAAGTTTTGACTGCTTCACGGTAGACTCCTCATGAATTAAGTACAGGGAATGTGAGGTACGGGTCGCAGTATCAAGTTTGCTATGCGGAAAGATGACTGCAGGCCCTGAAGATCCACGGTTTGCCTCAGCCTTTTTCCTGGTCAGTCCTTGGGTCGTGAGGCTTTAGATGCAATTGCCTAGGGAACCCTGCTCTCTGTGCAGCTGCTGCACGCTGAGTGAGCCGGCGGAAGCTGGCTAAGCGGAAGCGGCGTGCAATTTGTAGAGGTAAATTGCAAAGAAGATGTTCGGCTCCCTTCCTTGCCAACATGAATCGCGTATCAGAAGCCCTTACAGCAAGTTATGCTGGCACAGGCCCCAAAGTCGAAGTCATCCAAAACCTCGACACCTACGTGAGGATCCAGCGCAACGTAGCCCAAGGTCCATAGGTGTAATTTTGCAGTGGTATGCTCTATAGGGAAGGGGGGACCAGATTCAGAGCCCATACATGATACGGAAATCTCTCTAACTCCCTCTATCCCAGACTGCGATCCCTCTTCCCCTTCCAAGCACTGCCCAGAGTGCGACCCAAAGTGCAATGATCAGAAACCTCATGCACTAACTTCAAGATAACTTCACGTTCTTGACGCACTTCGTGGAGACCTCTTTTTGCACAGCAGTGACAAGCCCATGTGTAGCGCAATACACTTTGGTAATCATGCAAAATTTTACCTGAGGCATAAGAGGAAAAGAATGCCAGCATCACCGTCCATATGAGAACAAGCATTGCCATTGCGAAGAATAAGAGCAGCAATTCCAACAACACTAGTATACTGTAATGTTGTTGAATTATCACGTCATCCTTGTTTACAGTCATATGATCACACTATGTCCATCTTTGCTTAAATGGAAGAGGTCCTGCTCAGGCAGCTAACAGGCCAGCTTCAGAATTTGCTCCAGGTCTTTCAGGACCTCTCAGGGCCAACTGCCATCTCCCAGTATCCCCCTTAATAACCCCTGTAATACTCCCCTATATAATCCCATAACTGAAGGTAATTTGAGGGAATCTCTTCTACACCCCTAAACCCTAAAGGCTTTTTCAGGAACTTTTTCCAGAGTTGTCCCACACAACATCCGCCTGGTTGCCCTTCAGCTTGTTGGACAGCCTCAGGCTTCAACAATCACATCGCATGGTCCTCCCCAACAGGATGATGGCAGCAGTTATTACACAAACAATAATGGGGAGAAGCAAGCTCTAGGTTCAAGAGTACTATGTGCCTCAGCCAACAACTTGCGGGAGGTTCTAGTAGGTGTGCACGACATCTGGGGGATGTGCGCTGATGGACTGCTGAGAACAGAAACCCCCTCCCCTCGGACACAGACTCCTGAAATCCTAGAGGCCAGATCAAGAGACTGGGTGCCCAACTCAGAAACAGACCGCAGTGCCTCAGGCACAAGATCTTTGAGCTTCTGCTGCTCCTGCTCACAGTCACGGATGCATCCACCCTTGTTAGAACCAGTGTCCGTACTGCATGACCCTGGAAAACAAACGTCTGGCCAAGCAGGATCTGCCATCGAAAGCCCGGCTTCTACAGTAACTGGTAAGTTACATGATTTCTGCTGGCTTGATTGGTAGCATGTAGAGCATCTGTTACTATTCCTACTATTCCTATTGTATCGGCGGCTGTACGCATATTGTCACCGTTGCTTGAAGCAAGTACTTGCTCTCGGGGCGTTTTACCTTGTGTATTATTGCTGTTCCTACTACGGTGTAACCTTGAGCTGTCATTTCCCACTCCTATCTGCCCCTGTGTATACCTGAATAATTTCTATTATCCAACCACGAATGCTCCCAAATATGTTGCACTGTAGGATCCCCAAGACAAGCTCATGTTTCGACACCAGTGTCATCGTACCTCTGCTAGCTTTGGAGAACTTTGACACAGGGCTGTCGCGGTTTTCATCGTCTTGCACTAGCAGCATCAATCATACTTCGCGAAGCCTATACTAAACCGAACACCCCCTACAAACGAGCCCTCGATCTCATCTTACCTTTCCACCTCAGAGCCTATAGCCCTCACACCCAAGGCCTAAACTATTCGAACTCAAATGTCCCATTCTAATCCATACACAGCTCTGGTCCAATATGCTTCGACTATGTAATCGATTTAAGCCGCTAAATCAACCCCTTTAAGGCTGCTCTTGTGCTGCTAGAGGTCTCCTGGCTCGACTGGGATGACTTCAGGCTTTTCAGCCGCTCCTGGCTTTCTGATAGCGCACGGGCTTTATAGGCTTTTATGAAAAGTTTGGGGTAGTAGCGCCGGCGGTGTAAAACAAAATCGATTTTGGGTTTGCGATTTAGAGTCCAGGATATAGGGTGCGGGGTTCAGGATTTACATCTTGGCTACTCCCGCTGCGCAGGCAACATCAGAAGCGCCCTGCATGCTTGGTAGTCTAGATTGTCCTCTCAGATATCCCAAATGCGCTTCGCCATTCTTGGTACTCATATTGCAGCTACCTGTGGTCGCTAGCATCATTGAGATTGCTCTGATATGCCTTCAAGCTGGCCTGGACTCAGGCTTCCAGGTGTCATCAGATAGACCCCAGTGGTATCCGCGGGATTCTATACAGCATTTCAAAGTCAGTCGCCAAAGAGCTTCCTATCGGTCTTATCACCCCTCTAACAAATAACAACAACTCCCGACCCCTAAACAAAAAGATTCCCAATGTGAGCATGGTGCCTCTCTTTCAAGGTAATCTTCACTTCATATCATTAGAGGGCGGACAGGGGCACCCTAAACCCAAAACCCTAAACTCTGAACCCCAAACCCTGAACCCTACAGCCTCAACCCTGAAACCCCAAACCCTGAACCTTAAAGCCTAAACACTGAAACCAATGCTTCACGATCATCCGTCAGAAAACTGCCTCGCCAGCCAGGAGACAGTGGGCTAGCTTCGCAGCTACTTGTGGATCCCGGGTGACCTCAGCTGTTTGGTTACTCTAAATCCTACACCCTAAGCTCTCTAGTTATAAAACCTATAGACCCTCAACCCTAAACCCTAAAGTTCAGACCCAAAAGACCGTCAGTTTTGGGACTTCATTTAAGGAATTCAGCAATCCCATTCTTTGGGGGAGGTCCTTTAGTGAGGAGTATACCCCTGGGCCGTATATCATTTCTCAAGGATACTCTGCGCGAAAGTCATCCCTAGACATCGGGTATTTCTGAAAATTGGGGCCTGAAAGCATTCCAACGGTCCTTGATCTCGGGGCCCTAGAGGTGGGATTCATTGTTCAGAGAAACTTCCGTGCACTACATAACATACCATTTTCCCATGCAATCCCGGACCATACGACCACCCACGCAGCCTTAAAACCAGTTTTCTCCTGAATAAATCAAGCTTGGGACTTGCGCCGCAGAATCCCCACCATGGAATCCATGATTTTGAGAAACTTCCTCATTGAGGGGCTTTCTCTAGGATCACCCCTTCAACAACCGCAGGGGGCGTTAAGGGTTATAAGAAGAATACGCTAAACGCTCGAACTCCCATACGGGTCCCTTTGAGGGATGATGTAGGGATTCTTGAGAAACTGCCCACCCAGCCTCGCCATTCGAAGAGCTGCTACCCTGGCTTCCATGTCATGTGTGTGGCTTGAAGCTGAGTCAGGCTCTCGGGCGCACATGATGAAAGAGGTCTTGTGGAACTTTGCAAGGATTAAAAAGGCAGTTACTACCACATGCTATCTTGGCACGCAAGGCAAAGCAAGCTTTGCTATGAAGAGTGACCTGCAACAGAGGTCAAGATCAGAGTCCCCCAACACAACAAGCCAACCAAACAGACTTCCCGCCCTCATCTCGACGCCCAGACATTTCTGAAAGGTAGGTGCAGACCCATACGGTTTATCTCCATTGAACGAGGACATTCGATATCCATGTCACGCCGCCTACTAGTCTTTTGGCATGTGACCCTGACACAGATCTCAGCAACCGGAGGCTCTGATCATTTTTAATTCCTGTTGTCGGAAAAACTCCAAGCAGAACCTGACACTACACATGCAAACTTTGCGCATTCATTGCGGCCCGGCACGTTGTGTGCGCGGCCCAAGGGCGAGTGGCTTTAAGACCCGCCAGCTAGCTGCGTGCTCTGCGCCATTGGCAGGACAGCAAAAGTATCAAAAACTTGGCCACGCTCACCATTGCATGTTGCGAGGCAGCAGTGCTTGAACGCGCAAATCGAATTTCGGGAGAGAGAGACCCTTTATGGCAATGGGCAGGTTGTGACTCCCTTGGAATTGCGAATTTCCCCAAGGTCAGCTCCACACAAACCATGGGTACCTTCCCGGGTGCCACAGGATACCTGATGAGCATTCATGCCAGTCCCACGAAAAGGATCAATATTCTCTGCCTTGTCATCAAACATGTAAACCTCCTCTTTGGCAACTCCAAGCTCTCCCGCCAGTCGGGCGGCCTCATTGGCCTTGCATCCCTCATTGCAGTCAACCACTGACTCGGCGACTGGGATGTTGGGCCGACGGTGAGGATGAGCTGTAATGGCCCTCACATAGCAAGATCCGCAGAAGGTCTCCCATACATGTTGACCCAATTGAGACAGGGTGAGATTTCCACCGCCGTAGGCATCATCATAGCTTCCGGAGACCACTCTGTTCCCCGGGCATGCCATTGTGTCACCCTGTCTGCCAGTCAAGGTCCTATCCACATCCACAATGCAAAGGCATGTCAAAGGTTGAAGCTCACGGGGAGACCCAAAGAGCCCTCGCAAGGAAGAGCTGAGGGAGTCGAAGCTGCTTCTGACATACCTTAGCCCACATTACCTTAGGAAGAAAAGGGGATCCTTTTTACAGAAATATAAGGAATCCCATACCCCAAAAAATATACAGGATCCTTACGTAATATTGATCCAGATACTCCGTGAAGTTGGACAACTCCAAGGTTCGGCTTGCGTCCTCTCCTCTCAGGTTCCCATGAGATGTAGGATGTGCCAGGGACGAACCCAGCACAGCGGTGAATAGAAGCAACGACTTCAGGCCCATTCCGATGGCTCCTGCCGATCTATGATCTCTGTACACGTCTGGAGCCAGATGCTTGATTCAGTCGTCAACTTTCCGCGTACTCATGTTCAGTCGGGCATGGGGATAAAGAGTCCTTTCTTGGGGATTATACCGGGACCGTGAAAGGGATCCCTTCCCATGTTCCCACCGAAGCAGGAGTTGTCAACAGTTGTGTGCAACAGGTACTACACTGCTTTAGGGACCGTACTCATCTTGTAGCTGGCCAGGAAGGACACACATCGCCTACAAGCACCCTAAACGGCCCTAAACCCTAAACCTACACACCAGCATCCTTCCAAACGTCCCACCTCTCTTGCGCGGGAGGTCCCACCGGCTTGTACCGTGAAGGCATCCAAGGCCAGGTAGAGGAAAGTCCAACCCCTTGAGGTTCAGGATTTAAGGTACAGGGAGTTTATGATGTAGGTATTAGGGTTTACAGGCTCAGGGTGGCTAGGAGGCTTTTTTGGTGTTTAAGGGATTAGAAGGCTAGGATGGCTCTGGCCCAGGCTGCAGGGTAGATCCATGGTGACATGTTTTCGGTCACCAAGAAACAGCAACACTTTGCTTCAGTACTCATCCAAAATACACTTTTGGCATAAGGCGGAAACTGCCAAGAGTCAAGCATCAGCGTGTTCATTTACCATGCTGTACTGCTGCAGTCCTTAAGGAATGGTTTAAGGCTTGTCAGCACCCCACAGCAAAAGAGGGAAAACATCAATACAGTGATCGCACCTTGGCTTGCCAGCCTTAATGCTTAAGACACGAATCCACACCAAAAGATGTTTCAACGAATCCTGCCATAAAGGCCGAACTTCTCTACATAGAATTACACTTAACCTATTGACCACTTGCATGTCTACACTGCGAAGCTGAGTTTGTGGCTCACTTTCCCCCTCCTTGGGTGGGACGCGAAGGTCCAACAGAGCATCACGATTGCTATCCTGGGCTGCCCAGATTGAACCCACTTCGCAGTTTCTAAGAGCCGGAAGAACTTCGCTGCCAAAGTAATTTTCTCCAGCTCCCAACCTCTTTCAACCCACTGTGCAGAGGCGGGCGCAGATATTCAAGCGCAAAGGCGGGCGGAACATAACTTATGCATGATGGTTGATGCTAAGTCATAAAAAGAAGTGCCATTATAGTTCCAAACAACTTCAGAACGGAAGCCTGAAGGCTGCAAGGGGCGTGTCAACCACTGCAACCGGCGTCCGGCCACGCAGAGCTACATTGCTACACCAGGCCTACAAAGTTAACTACCATCACGCTGGAGGAAACCCATGCGAACCGGTTCTTCGATTCCTTAGCATCCCAAGTTTGCGGGCAGGGAGCGTTGGCTGCTATGGACCAGCGCAGGCAGTCGGCGCAGAGACTCGCAACCTGTCACGGGAGTGACAGGGCAACAAGACAGGTCCCTGAAGCCACCCTGTTAAACCCTAATGTTTCTGTGAACTTGAAATTGAACCTTTCCGGGCTCCCCTAGTTGACTGTGAATGAGCATTGGGCTCTTGCCGAGGAAGCCCGGCAATTTCCACTTCGGGAAAAATGCGCGGGTAGACCCCTGTGGCTTTGAGAGGGCAAAGACCACTAGAGTATAATAGGGTATATATTGAGATTATAAAGGGATACTGGCAAAGAAAATGGAAACTGGAGTTTGCAATTTGCTCATGACCCGTTCGAAAGACAGTAGCAGGCTGAGGCTTGAGGATTTCACGATGGTTCGTGGGCTTGCCGTGCTATCCAACTCTGGGCCCCTCTGATCAAGGTGCTGCATGAGCTCTAGTCTAAACTCGCGCGGGGTTCGC